TTGTTGGCATCTCCCAAGATATTGATATGATCTTGTTTGAGGAAGTTAATGGTTAGTTTGGTTAGTTCCTCAACTAGATATTTTGTAGGTTGTCCAAAGACAACAAGGGACAATGGTCTTCCTGTTAAGGTTGGATGAGGATTGCCCCAATGCCCACTTGCAACTAATCCAAATTCTGATGTCACAACACTAAATGTGGAATGCAACCAGTATGGATCCTGGTTGTGTTTGTATATTGTTACCAGTTCTTTCCCCCCCAGCACAATGTCAAATGTTATCCATGTGCTGGTAAGGATGTGTGGATCAGCTAATGAATGTTAGAAATCCTTGAGTTGTGAAAGCGTATGAGGGTTGGTAGCCCCCCAGGATTCTTGCAATGGCACAACAACAGCTGTGGTTTCTATATTAAATGATGGTTTGTTCCTGTGCTGTAGATGCAGCTTTGCCAATGTTGTAGATTATAAGCGAGTGTTACCAATGCCCGCAATGGTATGAGCTAGGGCTGTTTGTACAGTAGGTAGTCAAAGACAATCCACAAGGGCTTGTGTGACCAGGGTTAATTGTGACCCTGTGTTAAGTAAAATGTGGACCTCAACATTCTTTGGTTGTAATTTAACAGTTGCTGTCTCCAAGAGAGAATATGCCACTGTACTTGTTGCTGTATTTGCCCTGACTAGTCATGCTGGGTTTGCAATGGCTGCCTGCGCTGCAACTGCTGGTGCCAGTAATGCCAATGCCAGTGGCGGTAGTGGTAAATGGTCGGAGATGGCTTGTAGGATTGCGGCAAAGTTGCTCGGATTTTTGTTAGCTTGTTGATCATTCTATTGAGCGCCATTGTTGCAAGACCTATACCGGAGTTGCGGTTGCAACCATTCTGGTTGTTGTTGTTTTGATTATTGTTGTTGTTTCTGCCATTGTTTTTTCCATTGTTGTTTTGATTTTGGTTGTTTACAAAATTGTTTGCATTTCTGCTGTTATTAAATTGGGATGAATTCCAATTGGACTTGTTGATCTGAAAACAACTGCCCTGATATCTGGTATTGGTTTGAAATCCATTATTGTTCTGAGATCTGTTATTGCCTCGATATTCAGTGTTATTTTGGAATCCATTGTTTTGCAATCCATCATTCTGTGATTTGTAACATAAGGAAGAATGATGTGGTCGGTTGCAGGTTTGACATCTTTTGATGCTGCCACAATTGGCAATTGGATGATTGGATGCAAGGCAGTTGTAGCACAACTGTTTTTGTTGGACTATTTGAATCTGTTCTGGTACGCTTAGTTTGCAGTGGAAAGCATTGTGCCCCTGTTGAGAGAATGAACATTTTCATTTACTGTCTGGAGTGTACTTTGATCCAGAGCTCTTGTAGCTGGAAACTTTCTGAGATCATCAAGGCAAACAGTCTTCCCTGTCCAATTTGTCCAGCATTGATGAACGGCTTTGATGTTTGCAAGACTTCTTGTTTTTTTTTTGACTGACAATCTGATTTTCTTGAGTCATTTCTACCAGAACGGCAAGGGCTTTTGGACGCCTCACGCTTTTGCTTTCTGGGACTCAACTCTTTCTCTTTTTCATTCAAGTTAGATTTCTTTTTAGACTCTTTTTCTTTAGTTTGTTTGGAATATGATCCACTGTGGAATGTAAGTGCCGTAGGTGACACTTCATCCTCTGGTGCTTCTGATCATATAAATTTTTAGATCCATCTGTAGCAATTTGCTGGAGTGCTCTCCCAAGTTGCAGATTCTGATGTGGGGTGAGGAGGACTTAGTTCCAACTCATGTAAGATGCTATTGAGAAGCCCGCTTTTGAGCAAATGTAACTTGATGGTAGGCCACAATTGAATGTGGACCTGTGGCATGTTTGAACGTAGATTGTGGAGTTGGGTGGTAATATCTACCACCTTCTCCATGTATTTTGCCATGTTCTCAGCTGATGTTCCATCTGGTTTTAATTTTTCAAACATTTTAAAGATACACTGGTGTGTTGCTTAGATATATCCATATTCTTCAATAAGAATTTTCAGAATTTGGCAATAATCTGATTCTTTGGTTTTGTCAGGCTCTCTGTCGACGAGATTATTTGCCCTGCCCTCAAGATAAAGGAGCAGCAGGCCAATTCTTTGAGACAGTGTGATAAACTTGGAAGGGATGATATGAATTTTGTGAAAATTTGACCAAAAACTGTCAAATGTGAATTCCTCATCTGGGTTTCCGCTAAAGCGTTTGAAGGAGGGAAGTAGTCTTTTCTTATCCAGATCACAAAAAAACAACAAACTTGGCTGTGGCATATTTGTTGCCAATGCATATGTATGTAATGCAGCTAGGTTACGGATTGGTTTTGTTGTTGATTTCCAGCAGTCTGATGTATGACTGTGTTTGAAATTTTTGATACAGGACAAGTTCCTGTTGTGTATTGGAAGAATAATGTGACAGAGCATCCTTTTCCTCAGGTGTAAATACACCTGGGACAATTTCCGCACAAGGTGGAGCAGAAAATTGAACGCCAAGAATGCACGCCTGCTTAGGGCATAATTTGAGCCAGTTTGTTTGCAGCTGTTCTGGCGTTCAAAAAATAATGGCATTCAATTCATCCCACAATTGCAAAATTTGAATCTGCTCCATGTCCTCAAAATGCTGTTGTTTCAAAGATATAAAATAAATGGATGCTGTCATGAACACCTGGTGTTTCTGTACAAATGTTTGAAATGTGTCTGCACTAAGGTGCTGTGTGTAAGCCTCATCACACAAGTACGTAGCATGTGCAAGGCATCCATCACCACCTGTTGGATTGTGGGGTTTGGATCAAAATGATTCAACATACTTGTGGTCAAGATGCCCATCATTGATGGAGGTGGTGATGGGTTTGGGAGTGCTACAATGGGTTGCTGCGGCAGTCTGCTGGGTTCTTGAATGCTCCATGGTGCTGTTGCTTGATTTGAATCTGGCACATTTGCCAATTGTTTGTGGGATGGTAAAACATCACCCACTTGCGGTGTTTGTAATGGGATTGCACCAATTACATCACTGTTTAATACACTGGGGGGTTCACCATAGAGGGATGGAGGCTTGCTTGTCTGCGTACAAGTGAAGGAATCACTGGTGGGTACAGCTGATTTTCTGCAAGGCATTTTTAATGTTTGTAGGTGAAAGGACCATGCACTTCACACACTTCAAACATTTGTTTGATAATTGTTTGAAATTTTTCACCAAGTTTTTTTTTCCAAGACTTTTTCACAGTCCTGTACCCCAGTGAGCACGAAAGTCTCCAAAAAATGTCCGGAACTCATCCAAATGAGTTCTACGGACATTTTTTGGAGAACTTCTCCAAAAAAACTGTGCTTTGGCGGACACATTTTGAAGAACTTGTCTGCCAAAACACAATTTTTTTCTCTGGAAGTTTCTGGCGCCAGAAACTGGCGGATAAGTTCTCCAAACTTGTCCGCAGTTTATCCAAAATTGGCGGACAAGTTTGGGGAACATGTGGATTTAGCTTGTGACTTGTCTCCACAAGCTAAATCCACATAAACCAAACAAGACTACGTGAAGGGGTCTGTGGCTGTATGGCTAAGGGGCCAGACACTCATGCAGGAGTTCCTGGGTTCGATCCCTGGGAGGAATAGGATATTATTTAAGAGGTGAGATAGGAAAATATAGAACTCTAGATATAAATATACAGGGTAAGTTATATACAGGTGTAATTAGCATGCTAGATATAATAATCTGTAAAATAAGATAGTTAAGATGATAGTAGGAATAATATAATTCACCATTAATTACAGGCAAATTAATTCAGCTTGTATAAAATGTAATTTGTAGAGACAGAGAAGCTGACACTATGAATATTGAACTGGAAAACTTTTATTCCAATATTATTTTGATTAAAAAATATATATATATATATTTGGAGGGAACTGGAACAATTTTTGGATAAAAATCGGACATATTGTCCGATTTTTATCCAAAAGTTGTCCCAGTTCCCTCCAAAATGGGTCCGTTTTTGATCCGAAACTCGTCCGTTTTTGATCCAAAAGTCATCCACTTTTGGATGACTTTTGGATCAGAATCGGACATGTTGTCCGATTTCCATCCAAAGCAACTTGTCCGCAACTTGTCCTTTTTTGGCAAGATTCGCGGACAAGTTGCTTTGGATGAAAATCGGACCCAAAACGGACATTTTCATGCTCACTGGGACTCTGATCTTTGTGTTCATATAGATTTTTTGCTGGCCACCACTTTTGTCAGGGGTTATTGAGCCTCTCTGACAAAGATTTGAGTTTCACTTATGAGAAAAAGTGAAAGAAATGTATAAACACAATCAGCTGTTTGCGGCCTGAGGTTAATACCTCAACGTCAGTTTGTATATTCTGCAAAATGGTCAGGGTTCAATTGTAATTCAGCACACACAAAATTAGCTCCTTTCTCAGCTGAGGTTGGATTGTTTCTGACTGCTTCTTGAGGTGGTTATGATGAGGTGCAGGTCCTCATTAGTGGAAAGTTTGTTCAAGGCTTTCCGTTGATGTGTGACTAATTCTTTTGCACACAGAATTCCTGCTTATTCCTTTGATCACAGGGCTGATTCACCAGTTGAATAAGCCCTGGAGATCAATATCTCCAAAGCTGGTCTTTTTGGTAGATTTCCTTGGAATTTTGTTTTTAATCTTGTTTGTAAATATATTTCATAACTAGTTTCATAATGATCTTCTAGAAGAAGATGTTTGCAATCTCAAATATGGCTACAACGTGGCATTTTGTACACTGCCTCATACTTTAATTCTCCTGTTTGTTCTCTTGACTTGGGCAACATCTAATTGTCCCAAGTGAAACGGCGTGTCAGCGGGCAACATCTGTTAGACCCTTGACACCTTGTCCCAGGCAGATTCTGCATTTTTATTCCTAATCTTGTAGGTTCAATCTTTTCTAGCTTTCATCTTTCTTCATGTTGAGAACTTTTATTCCTCAGAATCCTCAACAGTTGGCTCAGTGTTTTAAGGGTAGGAATCATGAAAGCAGTTGTTCTGCTGTGTGCTGTTTGCGTTGCTGCAGTAGCAGGGGGTTTCCTTGGAGGTTCTGTTGCTGAGAAGGCAGAGGACAAGGTATTTGTGTGCTACTTTGGGTCCTGGGCCAAGTACAGACCTGGACTGGGCAAGTTTGATGTGGAGAACATTGACCCCTATTTGTGCACACACATAATTTATGGGTTTGCTGGACTCAAGGAAAATCAAATTGCTGCGTTGGACCCTTACAATGACCTGGTGGAGGAATGGGGTCTTGGTAAGTGCTGCCCATTCTTTTCCATATATAAAAAAGTTAATAATGATACTTATTTAGAGTTATTCTGTACTAAAACTCACAAAGAGAGTTTTTTCTGTTCATGGTGTGTTTCAAAATACAATAAAGGGCTTTTATTTTCATGTTTCAGGCAGAAAAAAATAAATATTGTTCCAACTCTTCTGGGTCTTTCTGAAAGAGAGTGATTTGCATCCAAACTACTTTCAGGCAGTTTCATTCGATTCATAAATGTTTCAACTGCACATCTCCAATAATGCAGATGACTGATCTTTTATTCACGAAATTCCATTCATTGAGATTCATTCTTCTCTTTGAAATTCAAGATACTTGGAGAGGTAAAAAAATATCCAGTGTTTGAGCAGTTCATGATCAAGAGTTTGTGTAAACTGATACATTTTCCACAGGAAATTTTAATTTTTGAATGTTTGCCCTATAGGTGCATTCAAGAAATTTGTCAATCTGAAGAAGTACAATCCCAAGTTGAAGGCACTGATTGCAATTGGAGGCTGGAATGAAGGGTCACAAAAATATTCCAGTGTGAGTGGATTTCTCAAAACAAAAGTATACAAATTTTAATATAAACTTGAAATTGGAACACTTTTCATTAGATGGCCGGAAGTCCACAGACCAGATCCATGTTTGTTGACAGTGTCCTCAAGTTCCTAGAACACCACAAGTTTGATGGTCTGGACATGGACTGGGAGTATCCAGCTTTCAGAGAAGGAGCACCAGAAGACAAAGTATGTTTTTATTTCAAAGTGTAGATAGAAGGGTAAATCAAAACCATAAAGTGCTCCCTGTCATTGAAATGATTTCCAGGAGAACTTCATCAGTCTGCTGGCGGAACTCAGAGCAGCTTTCCGACCACATAACTATTTACTCACTGCTGCAGTGTCTGCTGGAAAAGTGACCATTGATGGTGCTTACAATGTCCCCAGAGTTGCTGAGTGAGATGAAAGCATTTACTATTGCCAGAGTGAAGCTTTGTGACAAGGATGGTCTTTTTTCCTCCTGTTGAAAGGTTATTGGACTTGATTAACATCATGACATATGATTTTCATGGGGCCTGGCACCCATATGTCCACCACAATGCCCCCATGGGCCAGCATCCTTTGGACTTGACTAAAGAGATTGCTCAGAAGGAAGGCAATGATGTCTTCAATGCTGTAAGCTATGATTCAGCAACAGTAGTTGTGCTTGTAATGATTATTATTCTAAATGAGTGTTCACAACCACTTTTTGACCCAAAGGACTGGCCAAGTTTCACAAAATCTTTAGTAGACCATAGCATTAAAATAAAAAATCTGCAGACTGGCTGAGTTTCATTGCAAATTAAAAACAGTTTTCTTGGAAAAACTTTATTTCAGTTATTTGAAAGTTCATGCATTTTTACAAACTTCAAGTGGAGAACCACTGAAACAACCATATTTTAATATCTTTGGAAATTAGAAATGTGGGTTTTAAGAAAGGTTTCTCAGAATGAAAAAAACTGATATAATTAATTCATAATTTTTCAGAATTGTTAGCAGGAGGAAAGCCAATTTTATTTTTATTTTAAAAATATAAAGTACAATTGCTGTCCAAAAATGTTGACAAATATACCAGACTTGATTGCTAATTTTGATAAATGTATTCTGCAGGAGAAAATGTTCCATAGACCAGCAAACACTTTTGTGGACTGGCCACTGGTTGGGTAACACTGTTATAAACAATGCAAGGACAGTAGTAGAAAAAAAATTAAAAGATTATTTCAGAAAGGGGGTTTAACAGAACATGACAAGGACATACCAATGTGTTACTATGTATGGTACACACTCATTTTATTTTATTTTTCAAAAACTTTTTTGTTTTGGCTTCTGATTGCAGAAATATGCAATTGAGTACTGGCTGCAACTGGGGGCACCCAAAGAGAAGCTGGTGATGGGTATCCCATTGTATGGCAGGGTCTTCACCTTGGATAGACCCCAGGAGCATGAGCTCTACTCTGCTGAAAACCCACCCCTGAGTAAGCATGAGAATGGGGGCTTCAGCAAGTGACTTGGTTTGTTTATTCCTTGCAGATTTGTGACCTTGCCAAGGCCCCAGGTTTCACCAGGCACTGGATTGATGAGCTCAAGGTCCCTTATGCTGTTTTCCAGAACAACCAGTGGCTGGGATATGATGACCTTGAGTCTATTCAGATCAAAGTCAGTTTCTCTTTCAGGATCATTTTTATAATTTCTCCTCACCAATGGCGCAAAATTGGCTGACATTTCGATAAAAACATATTATTTTAAAGAATTTCAAACATGAAACCATTATCACCATCACTGCTGGAACAATATACAGTTTTAAAATATAACTATAACTCATCAACTATTTTCAAAAACAGATTGAAGCAGTCATTTTCATTTTCTGCTGAAGACATAAAAGAGAACTTGATTTTATGGGAATATGAATGCTTACCAAAGATCATTTCTTGAAGTTTTAAGAAGTACTGTACCCCTAATTTCTTGAAAGAGGATACTGCCATTCATTTGTTCTGTTTGGTGAACACAATAATAAATAGGTGGACTACCTCAACTCTTGGGGCCTCAGGGGAGCCATGGTTTGGAGTGTGGAGACAGATGACTTCACAGGCAATTGCAGACTAGGAAACTTTGCTGACCACAAGAATCCCCTACTGAAGACAATAGCAGCTGGGGTATTTGGAAAAGTGCCAACCCGTGACCCCTCTGTCACCATTCCACCCATTGTAAGTCAAGGCTTGATTGCATTAGCAGAATCAATAGCTCAATAATTGGCCAAAACAGGTTGAATTTCAGGGGATAGGTCTAATTCCAAGTCAACCTCCCAGCAAATTTGACCATCAAACTATGCAAAAATTGCAGGAGGTTGAATTGTGAGGTACCACCAGTATCTTTATTCACCATTTTTCTTCTGCAGAGTTCCACCACCACTACCACAGGGAATCCTCATGTCTCCACCTCACCAACTGCCAGAACCACCACCAATACACAAAAGCTAGTGACTGGCAATCCAGGCAACATCTGCTCCTACTGCCCGGAAGTGGGTGACAATGTTCACCCTTTCTCCTGTACCAAGTTCATCAAGTGCTGGGGCACACTAGGAGATTGGCGCTGTGTTGAGACCTCCTGTGCCCAGGGGACAGGGTTCAAGCCAGACACCAAAGGCTGTGTCTGGCTCAGTGAACTCCCTGGATGCAACCCATGATCATGCCCTTGACATTTATTCTCCTTCCTGTCTCTATTGGAAACTGGGCAATGCATGTTACACATATAAAGATACATTTGAAAAGCACTGGATGGTGTCTTCATTGCAGTTGAACCCCTTCAAGTCAAATTTCTAGGGACCAGGAAAACAATTTGAATTAGATATTGGAAACTGGGCAATGCATGTTACACATATAAAGATACATTTGAAAAGCACTGGATGGTGTCTTCATTGCAGTTGAACCCCTTCAAGTCAAATTTCTAGGGACCAGGAAAACAATTTGAATTAGGGAGGTTTTAATTTGTTGAGCTTTCCAGTTGAGGAAATAATACTTTTGCTGTGAGGAGAAGTGAAAAAGTGTTGGAAATCATAAATAACAACATTCTGGGCATAATCTTGCTCCATAATGAGTTTACACTTTGCTTAACTTGGAGGCAGGGGTACATTTGCTATATTTGTTTTTCACTTCCTTTCAAAATGCATCAAATTATTCATTTTAATCATTTTCTCTTTCATATTTCAAGGAACTAATAACCAGAACGCCTCAGAAAATTTGACTTACAGAGGTTTTAAAGAAAAAGACTTCAAGTTAGGGAGGTTTTTAATGTATTGATTCTAAGGGAATTCAGACAGGGACTTGAAACAAATTTGACTTAGGGAGGTTCAACTGATCAAGGTTCACTTGTATTTCCTTCCTCTGATCTCTCTCTCTCTCTCTCTCTCTCTCTCTCTGTCTTCCACAGCAGGAAACAAACAGAATCTCATTCATGTGAGGCATTGATTGCCTGATGGAAGGGCCTGGTGTTGATGATGAACCCCCCTGTGTCTGCTCCTCAGGGGTTGACCTTGTTTAGACCTCCAACCAGGTTCCATGCATATTTGAGGAGCACTTGACAGACATGGATGTGGGCTCAATAGCGCCTCCCTGAATATGACCCAGCCTGCGGGTGAGGCCAGAAATTAGCCCATGTCCTGCCAACTGCGAAATCCAGATTTTAGAAGATCATAATACTTTATTTTTTTTTCTTGCGCTGGAAACGCTGATTTATTTTGAAGATTTTTCCATTTATTTCCAGCAACGTTTCCATTTTTTGAAGCTGTCAGTTATTGAGGAGATGATTGGAAGGAGTAGGACAGGTTTACGGGCGGATGGTAACGCTGCGTGGGATGTATGAATAAATCAGGCGAGAGTGGTTCCCTCTTGTGAGAAGGAGGGGAAATTGTTTACTGGTATTCTGGGCGCACTTGTACAAAACGTGGGGTGCTAAAAGATGCGCTGCTTATGAATGAACAAAAAAGCGTGCAAATTTCACAGATTTATTGACGAATATCTATGATTATTTTGAAAAGAAAGGAGCAGGAGTGTGTGAAAGTCTTGCAAATTTTGGGAGGTCTTTGGATCTGGGAAAAGAAGACATTATGTTAGGGAAATTTAACAGGCTGTATTTTTTTCATGAGACAAGCCTTGTAAGGGGAGGTTTCTGAGTAGTTCCTTTTGATACATTTTTAACTGGCTTCAAATCACATTCCAGAATTCATAACGTTTCGTAATTTTTATCTTGTTTCACATCACAAAGACACTGAAGACACAGATGCAAGATAACCATTGATTCATGAACACACTAGTGTTTTATCTGCCAGGTAAGCATGGACCATCAGTGATACCCCTGGATAGCGAGCTTTCCATTCGAGGATACAAAGCTGTTCACTCTTTCATTTTCAAATATTCAGTGAATTCAGTGTATGTCTTTAAAGTTTAAATTGCTTAATACGCATGAATGCAAAAATGAGAGAGAATATAACGGATGTCATTCCATCTGTTGTTCAGATGAATGTTAAATCTTTTTTGTTTTGTTTGAAGAACATCTTTTTAAAAGAAATCTCAGTTTCTTCCTTTAGCTTAAATTTAATTTTTTGAATTAATAATAATTTCTATTACATTTTTTGAGGACATATTTCTAATTTTTTATGCAATGGAAAGCAAATTAAATGCATCAGCATTGAAGTCTAAGGGAAGATGAGACTCAACTTAGGGACATTCCCACATCAGGACACATCTTGTTGCACCAATTGCATCCTCATTTCTGGGTCTCACTGTATTCCTATCCTCTTGTGAAATCTGAATTCCAACTCTAATTTCCAACCTTGAATGACATGTGCTTTTTTATATTCATTTTATTTATATATTTATTTATTTTATATTTATTTATATTTATTCATTTATTTATATTTATTTATTTATTTATGTTTATTTATTTATATATATTTTTGCAGGAAATGTTATTCAAGGATAAACAGAAAAGTTGGTTCAAGGTTTTGGCCCGCCATGATTGTGTACAACTCCAGCGCGGGCCTCTTGTGAAGCACAGATGCCTAACCGGCAAAAAAATCATCAGTTGGTCGCTGGCTTTCTTCAAAGGCAGTCTCGTTATGCAAAAGTGAAAATAATCAGCGCGCCAATTTTTCATCCTTTTGCACATGCATAAACTAACATATATAAATACTCATTTATTCGTGTGTGGGTGTGTTTATTTTCCATGTCGACAACCCGTTATACCAGAGCGTCAATGTTTTATTATTGCACATGTGTGTGCCAATGTAAAAACGGGGAATTGATTTTCGCAATTCCTTCTGCTGCTGGTGCAAAATCAACATCGTATACTTATTTTTTGTCAGTGATTTCCACCCTGGCTTGTGTTTATTCAGCAGCACAGACGAATCCCCAAGTAATAAACACAAGGGGCTGAAGGAAAATAACTTTTGTATATTTTTTTATTCGATTTATATTTTTATTTTCTTCCTGAAACGCGAGACGGAAATGTGTATATTGAGTTTCCTGGAGCCTGGATTGTGTTACGTTTTCTACTGCGTGGAATGGCATTCGTTTTTTTTTTTTACATGGGTTCTGTTCTTGTTCATTTATTCCTTTTTTCTTCTGTGTGGTGAATATGTGTGTTTGTTTCTGTGTGAGGTGGAAGTGAGAGTGGCGAGATAAGGAGGGAATGCAATAATATACACCCACCTTTTTTTTTTTTCGGGTCCCTCTTCCCGCCTCATCAGCTGCCAAAATGAGGTTGAATTTTTCATTCCCTTGCCTAGGGGTGCCTTTTTTTCCTTTTAGTTTGGGTATGTTCTTTGTTTTTTAATCGGTTATACCCTTGGAAATTGGGTCCTGATGCTGCCAGGATGTGAGTACCTGAGGGGACAGAGAAGAATGGTGCTTGAGTGACTGTGGGGTTGTGCTGGGGCTACTCTGTAGCCCCAAGCGTAGCATCTTTGCGGAGGATAGAAAAACTTTGTACCAGGCGCGGACCAGCAGGGTGGAAGCGTCTGCTACCTTCCAAAAAATGCCTGCTACCTTCCAAAACTGGTTCCTGCTAATCCTTGCCGTTTCTGGCCAAAGGTGTGAAGGAAGCCAGCCATGCTTGGAGACCAACCCTTGCTGACTTTGTCTGCTACTAGAAGGATCTCTCCAGAACTCTCTTGTAGTGTGTTGTTTGCCATATTGATTCCCTGATTGAATTGTGTGTATGTGTGAGTGTATGAGAAGTCTCTGACTTAAGGATTGTCTTGCTGTGTGTTAAGCCTGTTGGTGTTGAGATATTAAAACATGAGGTTTGGAGGGACTCCTGTAAGGAGGATCTGGACTCATAAAGGCTGATCACTTTGTTATTATTTTACCACCTAATTTTTTTTTGAATGCGGCCCAACAAAAACTTCATTCCTGCGGTTTTAGACAGAGAAAAAATGTCCCATGTACTGACTCTACTGAAATAATGGGTTTTAAAAATGTTCCTGTATTTTTTATGGCTGTCCGCATGTATTTTAAAAGCTGAAAACAGGGGTTTATTTGTGATTGTTTTGGGAATATTGTCTTGGTCACAGAGTTTAATTTATAGATTTCATGATCCATTTACTGCATCTGTGTCAGAGGCAACCTAAGTCAGTTACTCTTTCTTGACATTTGGACAGATCCTGGCATCTTTTGAAATCCCATTTCCACCCATGAAATACGTATTTTACCGTATCAAATTCTGCCCAGGATATGCATGGCCTTACACCACACAATGATAGTGCAAACAATGCACTGTGCATTTGTAGATTGAATGTGCATAACTGTACAAGCCTCAGCACTTTTTGCTCAAGAAAGAGAGAGACTCTGATTTGCCATCTGGCTGGGAAACCAAGCATAGCAACAAACTGTTTCCAGTGACCCCCAGAGCTTCAGATTACTCACCCCTGCAAGATTGCTGAAGGTCAGGGGGAAAGCGCTGCCAAAGGCAACCCTTTTCCTGGAACCTGATAGCATCTTGCACTTTGGACACACAAAGCCATGCGCCTTGGAAACAACACCAGATGTCTTACCCCCAAAGGAGGGAGGTTGAGATTAGAGACAGTCTCTGTGTCTCAGTCGAAATTTGGACACAGAACCAGCCTGACGTTCTCCAATATTCTTGTGCCAAGAACAGTTGTCTGTGTTTGACTTTGCGTTTTGGATCTTGTATGAATTATGCAAATTGATTTGAGGATTCAAACCACTTTCATTTTGTATGTTCAGTAATTACGGCAAGAGTTCTGTTTTGGGCATGTAAGACTCGGATTTTGGGAATTGAGTGTTAGCATATGCTTACTGACATTGCATTTGAAGTACTGGGTTTTTATCCTTCAATGTTGTATCTGTTTCATAGCTGATACACAAACAGCAAGCCTGTGTGTAGGCATCTGAAAGGCGTGTGTATTTGAATATATACCTCACCTCTGAGGAGAAAAGATAACCAAGAGCAAATTGCAGACAGTAAATTAAAGAGCTACTCAAGTGTTCATCAGGGCATACGGGCAATCGCCCTGGCCAACAGATCGCCCCGATATTCCCTGCCCCTATTGAATTCATTGTCCCTGTCCGGTTGACCCTTTCACACTCATTGTGACTGTTTTTGGTGGGTCATGGAATACCTTTTTTTTCCTGTGTTGAAATGAAAGTCGCTTTCTTTGAGGATTTA